TATAGTAAGCTCCATGATTATTTACATCTGTGTTAAACAACAGGTTTAGCGTCGAAATAATAAGAGTTACAAACCCTAATTTAGAATAATATGGTTTTCTTCAGCCTGTTTACATATAACTTCACCGTGGCCGAGGGGTTTGCACGCTCGCTTAGAAATCAAAAGGTCAGGAGTTCAAATCCCAGTTTAAGGCACTCATTTTTTTTAAAAATTGTTTAAGTCAAATAAACATTGAATTGAATATCAGTGTTGCAATTAGTCTTGTAGCCAATTTACTACAGTTAAAACACTGGAAAGCATTGGTGGCACTATACAAAAACAAATTGGTTTATAATCTCACAACCTTCACCTTTCTGACATTCTGAGACCCAAACAAATTCAGCGCCTTCTGTGCTTTGATTATACTTGAATGTCAGTTAATTAATATGTTCTTTAATCTTTAAGAAAGAATCGACAAACTATTATATGTACATATCATATACATATTATCATATTTCTATTTCTTTATTCAAATTAATCATCAACTCACCATAGCAGCTCTGGAAGTGCGAGGATATTCTAGAATCAACCATATTTTAGTTCTGTATTTCTCCCAGCCATGTAGACAAGACGTATCAACAGACATCTGCTGTTTGAGAATACTTCGATTAAACGAGTCTAGAATACGTTTATTTTCGATGTAAGAACGGTAATTTCTCCAGCAACATGATTTAATGTGGTTCTCGGTTATCTGCCAGTAGTCCAGTTCTCGTTTAACTACAGCACCACAAACCTCGAGAGGAACGTGTAATTCACCTGCAAACATTAAATATGCCAATTATTTTCTTTCCAAATGTTTTTTTCTTATTATATCGCATTCTCGCGTGAAAAATATATAGCTGGTTCTCCATATTTATTATTGTTGCGGGACAAATAAAATTTATTGCCCTCCATTAAGGTTTTACATTTCGCCATTTTCACATTAAACAAACATTTGGATCAATATAGTTAAAAGCATGTACATAACCGACTTTACATGACTAACTTCACGATTATAATTAAGAAGTTCCATAATGAACATCTTCATAACTTCGACTTATCAATAAGCAGTAGTAAATTTAACAATATACCATAACAAGACCTTCCAACATGATAACATGGCAATACAACCCGAAACATCATTTCCTTCAAGATCAGAATATAATTGTTCAATGTACGATGAAGTTTTCGTTGTTTGGCAATAAAATGAAATTATTCATGTATATATATCGCAGTCTGAAACAAAATTTTTCTGCATGCATAAAAAGTGCACGCACGCACATGACCGCACTTTTTGCTACAATATCGATCTATCATAATAAAAATTTCATTGTAAACCGCTATCTGCTGTTCTTGTGACAGATATTTCGTTTATTCGATACTCTTTTCACCGTTCTGTTAAGTTCGCGTAGCATATATTGCAGCAACCTCTTCTAAATAAAAAAAAATGAAACCCGCAAGGCAAATCATTGCAACTTGATCTCCTATTAAACTAACAGCGTTCTGAAGTTTGCAAAACCGTTCTTGGTGTTCCAAAATTAATTTAATTAACAGGAGTGTGCTACAAAAGAAAAAGAATCATGCTTTTTAATTCACAATACGGTGCTATCTGACTTTATCAATTAAGAAAGGAAATGTAAATACAACCTTAACCTGCCGGAGCGTCGGTACCGTCTGACCAGGTTTTATGCTATTGTCTGACCACCTTGATTATTTTGTTTATATATATTTTTGTTTAAATTATGGAATACAACAGCCTTTCCTAATGTGATATTTTTAGTTAGGTCAGTTGTATCAGTAGTGGTGCCCTTTCATTTACATTTATTCTCAGTAACGTATAGAAAGTTTGTGAAGAATTGTTGTTGTTTGATAAAGGGTTTAACTGTTTGACTTTTATTTTTAGGATGATGCAGGCATTGAAACTGTTTATAATCAGCTGTTGAGCATCATTCTTTGAAGGACTAGCTTGTTATTTTTATTGTTATCAGGACACAAAAAGTTTTTCTTTTTGTGTGCTAATTATGAGCGGTCAGAGGTCTGCTAGAGGTGAGGATGGGTCTAAGTCACCGCTAAAAACACTTCCAGGTAAAGCGAAACAAGACGTGAAAGCAGCTGAAACAGAATAAAGGAGAGATTATCGGATCGTTTAACTGCGTATGAAAGACAAAGGGCTCATTTACAGGAGCGTTTGGAGCTGAAAATTCTTCGGAGGCAGCTGGAAGAAAGAAAAGCTTATGTAGGTAGCTAGTAAAATTTTTGCCCGAGTCTCAAATAGCAATGACAATGTTTCTGATATTGCAGGTAGTGTTAAGAGCCAAAAAAAAAGAGAAAGAACAGTCGTTTTTTTAGTAGTGACGCTCCAAAGAGATCTTCAGGTTAATCAGCAGAAGGTATGTTTTCTAACTATTGACGATTTTCAGAAAATGAACTAAGATAAAGGTCCAAAACACAAAGAGGAAAAACATTACGCTTAATCTGGAATTACTACTACAACATCAGATTCTGTAAAATATATGTACGCAAATTTAGATTTAGATTTTGCCAGAAAGGATATCACATTTAAGAACCTTGATTATAACCTGTTTATTGCAGGAGAAATAGATAACATTTAATCTTCTAAAATTAGCAAAAAAGAGAAACGGAATCGCTTGTATTTATTAAAGATAGCTCTTAGATTATTCCAATATTGAAAACTGGACAAGTTCATTTAAGAAACTCCGCAGATTAAAGGTTAGTTTTATTTTTAAAATCAACAGAACATACTTGAAATAAGGTATAAAACATTTATCAAATTTGAAAGACCTTTTTGTCTTATTTATTGTTATTGGGGTTACATCTGAATGTCACTACAGTGTCAATAAATAGTACTGTGAATTTCAATGAATAAATAACCTTCATTAGCAAAGACTAAAAGTAAACTTCTTTTGAATGAAACTTGCTACATCAGGCATTGTCTCAAGTTAAGATAATATTTGTCACTATTTGAGTATTATTAAGGAACATCGATATTATTTAGTACATTTCAAGACACAGCCTGACTACGTTTTATATACCTTAAATACCTTTTTACGACGCGGACTATTGCTATGAAAAACCGACCGGATGTAGTAATTTTTCGCGCATGCGCATTCTACGTAGGGCAAGAAATCATTGCCATACGTAGAAATGTAGTACAAGTTCATAGACAATTTTGAGTTGACAGTAAAAAGGAAATAAATCATACTTAGCAATCTTAATGCATGCGTTTTTATTTACTAGTTAATACATCCTATAAAGTGTTGAAATAAAACCAAATAAACTTAATTTCTTCCTGGTGCTTACAATTAATAGATCAAGAAGTAAACATTATATTGCTTTTCTTAATTTTTTTTTATAATTCTGTCAAAGAAGCATTGAAAGTTTACTTACCTTCGGTTATACTAAACATGTTCAAAATTACCTATACAACAGTTACAGAGTTTTATCAATAATATATTTCAAGATACAAATACTAAATAAAAACTAGAAAAATCACTTCACTTTATTTGTCATAGACAAAACACTTTGTACCTCCAACCCAAAAAAATATATAAACTATTCATTTCTCTTTATGAAACACTTGACCTGTAGACATAATACCTACAACACAACCTATAAATGGTGTGACTAACTCTTATAAGGTGGGGAATAAAATATTGAAGGTATCTATAGTTTAACTGGTATACACGGACAAAGAACTTTAACATGTTAGGAGATATCTTCTCTTTAAGGATATATTCTAAACATATAATAAGGAATCATTTGAATTTGAAATTTGATAAAATTCAACACTTGTAGCGTGATTAACTTTTATTTAGCAACACAGTTTATGTATCTACGCCATTTTATATACAAATCAAACGTGCACAACTCTAAAAGCATACTGTGTTTTCATCCTCAAAATTTTAAGGCAAAAGTGAATATCATAAATATGATATAACATTAAACATCACACAATATTGATAACTGATATTACAGAACGGCTGACTTCTATTAATTTGCAGTGTAAAAGCCTAGTGTTATAATAAAATTTGCAGAATAAAAGTCTTATGCCATACGTTTTCAAAAATACCCTAATATATCAAGACACCATAAGACAAAATTTTATCAGTTTTATATTTAGTAAATTGCGGTAGAAATTTATTTTTTCAAAAGATATTTATATAGATGATAGGTTAAGATTTTTGTACATTAAAATATACGACAAAATACACTTATCAGTTAATTTACAAAACATCGACAATAAAGAAACAGCAAACAAACAAAACTTCTCTGTATCTAAAGCTACATAATAATAGTTGCATAGTTTATTTCATTCATTTATAATTGCGTTGTTGAAGCTACTACGTGCAAAACTCGCCTAACATAATTATACAGATACAACCGACCTAACTTAATAAAATATTAAATAAACCTTTCCAACAACTGAAGTAGATATGATTTTTTTGGAGAAAAAAAGCACAATAGGGAAGTCATTATTAAATGATAATATATTTAGCTGTGAAAAAAATAAGACTTTTTTTATATACTGATAATGATATACATTTGTAGTTAACATTCATCAATGAATAATTGTAAATATCATGAAACTATTTTTGATATATTTCAGCAATTATGGATCTTTGTGAATGTTTAAATGGATATATTTCATCCCGTGTTAAACACGGTGGCGATCCCAAGTGATTTGTGATATCAGAAATGATACGGAGATAAATGACAAACCGGTATCACATAATATTATCCGCGTTAGTTCTATTATAAGATCAATTAAAAACTTTTTAAAACTGTGCAAATCGCACATTTTTCTTTTCCCCAGTACCATAGTTTCAATTTCAAAAACTCCCTGTTTTATTCAAACAATTAAACCGTGGTTTTGATACGATGCAAACTGTAAACAGTGATTTTATATGTCTTAAGAAATGAATTACTAAGGTAATATGAAACTTAAACCCGGAGCAGCAAAATGTAAAAACTGATTCACACAAAATCATTAAGTTTCGAGCTTCACTTAAAATTATAAACTGTACTGGTTCTGATCAGCGTGCTGAATATTAAATCTTAATTCAAAATGTTACACGCAAGTTAAGTAGGAAACAATTTACCTCAGAAATCACAAAATTGTCAAGGAGGACGGATAAATGTAATATTATGATATAAATCAAATCACCATTTTGACATCGCATCTTAACCAAATGTTTGAACAAGACAAGTCTTTTTGAAACTATGGAAATAAGAGTATGTCTTTGTTGTGTTATCCTTAGTGATGGTGTGCATGTCATGGCTTGTTTATTCTCATGTTGTAAATATTTGTACCATACATGTTGTTTAAAATGCCCATGTATATGTATTACGTAATTAATCTAATCTAAATCTGTTACCGGGGAAATATTTTTTTTTTTACCTTTTGCACTGCTTTAAAACGTTTTTTAATTGGATTTGAAAGAAGAGGACTAGCTTCGAAACTATTACCATGTAGCGCTTTGTTGATGTCATTCAACTCCGTATCATTTCTGGTGCCACAAGTCACGTGGTATTCCACCCTGTTGAATAAGGTAATATACAGCACATGTCAATGAGTTTAATTGATTCAATCATAGGTTCGATAATGCAACGGATAAATGATTGAGCAATTTCTTTTTTGCCAATAGAGACCAGATTTTAAAATAAAAGTTATAATAGATAGTTGCAGATAAATGATGGTGATAGAACCACTATGCAAGTATTTAAATATTGAGCAAGTTCTTTGAGTAGCTTGTGATCTTAAAATTTCATGTGCTGATCAATTATTTCAACTGTAAATGAGAATTGGGTGCAGAATAATTTCAAAAATGTAAAGTATTGATATTAGAATGGAAACATGTTAGTAATTCGGTAAAATTTACCGATAGTGAGAAATTAAGATATTAACGTTTGTACAGATCAGTATGCTAAACGGAAGCATGAAAATGTATTGTAAAATTGAGCGTTTACAAAGACAGCAATAATTTATTAATATAAGTTTAGAAAATAACATGTAAACATTTTGGAAGAGAAAATGGAAAAATGTTATCTTTATGTTGAATAAATAAAAGTATAGACAAAAAAGAGAAATGGCTGCAATACAGCACCTAATGTTTTCCCAGAAACCTAAAAACATATTTTCTTGTACATGAATGCGTTGTTACACGAAATTATCACAAAACAGTGCGGTGTTATTTTTGACTAAAAATCTAATTTTGTTTCTTTCATCAATATCAATCCGAATTCTTGATTCCCAAATTGAAAAAAATAATATATCCTCTCCGCATCTTACTTGCTTTTCGACTTGTTCAATATCTAAAAGCGTAATTTGTCTTTTTGACGTATTGTCAATAATTGAAACCTATAATATAAACCAAGACTATAAAAGACAAATGCTCCTTGAATTATTAAAAAGGCAGGAAAAAAGAGACCAGTAAAGCTTCAAATATAATGAAATAATGATAGAACTGTAGATTTGTTTTCGTAAAGGCGAGATCCGTTCTTGTAAATTAATGTTTAGATGTTTGAACAGACACATTACAAGGAAACCAAACATGTCAAGAATAAGTTTTATAAAAAATATGTTTTCTTCGATAAATACGAGTTAATAATTTCTGGAAGAATAGAGATCAAGGAAGTACATATAAAAGGAAAATAACGAAATTTAACCTTTCATGTTAGAAGGCAAAAAGGAATATGTTCCTTGAGTCAACATGACCAAATCACTCCAAGATACATTGTGTCAAAAAAGAGGTGAAAATACTTGAAACTATGGGGATGCCGATTAAATTATTATGTATATCATTGTGTAATTTAGTGTGACGTGAGATCGAATAACATCACAGGACTCTAAAATATTCTAAGCATTTGAACAATTTTTAATAAAGAAAAAAATCAAAATTACGGCTTAGTGATAAAGTAAAGTGTGTCAGTGTTTAATATAAACGTCCTTTGAACGAGAGCAGTGGTGTACAAACCAGTGCTATTTAAATATCAATTAGTGCTCTGTAAGAAACAAAATTCTAAATTTTCTTTTCTCCTGGTTATTCATCATTCTCTTCATTGAGCAACTTGTCCAAAAATAACAAGTTTATAGAAACGTTCACTGTAAAACTTTGCATACACCAACGATGGACATTGTATCCTTCAAATGATTGGACGTCCATATAAATTATGATAACATCATACAAAATGTGGGTGTCGTGAAATTCGTACTATTTTCATCCTTTTTTCTTGAAGGTCTACACACTTTTCTCTGTAAAATAACAAAAATATCAGCTATCATTTTAGTAAAGTGTTAGCAGATCAAAAATTCCATTGTCATGCTTTTTATTGGTGATAAAACTACACAGAATTAGTGCTGAGACGACATTAAATGTTTTAAACATAATTTCAAAATTAGGACAAAATGTTCTGGAAATTCAAAACCTCTACACTATTAACGTATGCATATTGAAAGTTCCGCTCCAAATTTATCATAGGAATAATGTTTTCGATTAAACTCATGCTATTTAAACGAACTAAAAATATAACGAATCATGTCAATCTAAGTGTGTTTAAAATGCCAGTTGAGTTCGGAAACAAATCTTGATGAAAATTCACATCTTATCATCTAATATCTTGAAAATCACAATTTACTTTTTATGAGAATCCGTTTGCAATATATTGTTTGTATCATCAAATAACTGTCTGTCCGTGTGGAAGTATTCATTTTTTTAATATTTCGAAGAAAGTCTTTATTGATAAAATTTAAGGTTTTTTTTTTCGAACCATAGAATCTTAATTAGAATCAACTAATAATGCTTGACTTCTTACCACATTATCTCAGAAATTCTTAGCTTAGTCATGTAAATACGTTATAATGGTAAACAATTGAGCCGCGTCATGACAAAACCAACGTAATGCGTTTGCGACCAGCATGGATCCAGACCAGGCTGCGCATCCGCGCAGTCTGATCAGGATCCATGCTGTTCGCTTACAAACCCTATTACAAGTACAGAAACTGATAGCGAACAGCATGGATCCTGATCAGACTGCGCGGAGGCGCAGGCTGGTCTGGATCCATGCTGGTCGCAAACCCACTATGTTGGTTTTGTCGTGACGCGGCTCAATTCTCTTTTATAAACGGTACTCACATGCATAAACATAGCTGGGCAAGTTGAAAACTTGTTTTCTTCTTGTGACAATCTTAAGAACGGAAATAAAATCACCAAAATGTTAGAACAGAAATAACGCAATTTTTAAAAAGAAATTTAACACCAAGAATAAAGTAGAAAGCAAAAGACATAGCGTTGCGTTGGAAAATAAGTCGAAGAAAGGAAAAAATGCTCATAAAATTTGTCGAATTTAAAATAAACAGGTGCTTTGCGACATGCTAAGATGATACAATAGTTCAGGAATGAAAATAAAACAAGAAATTGAACAGAACTATGTGTCATTTACATAATCATCCCCTGCTTTAAGCTGTATTTGGTTTAATACATTGATAAAAAATTATGCAACATGTCTATAAACCAATGTGATAATAAGAGCGCATATAGAGAACAAACCTGAGTGAGAAATCCCATCATCAGAAAAGGCTTTCACTGTACTTGTCTCATTATCCTCAAAATAAGCCACATCTCTATTTATATTGACCAGTTCATTCAAGGAGGACGCAGATTTATGCCTGATCGTAACGTCACAAGCCATAAAACCGTACCTGACATCCCCATTTTGACCGAATTTTCCGGTATTCACAGCCAATGTTGATCTTTCTGATTCATGTCGTAATCTTCGCTTAACGTACATGTCCTCACTTGGAATAAGAGAACCGTGTGACATACGCCTCATACTTTCAATACTTTTAGCATCATCATGATTGATTAGAAATAAATCTTTGTCAAGTCCTTCACTTGAGTTTCTACGTCCACCTCGTGATCTCACGTGAGTATAGAATAACGTAAAGTTGTTCGATATCACAGGAATAGTGAGCGCCACCATAAGCACACCACAAATGGCACACATGGTACCTACAATGTATCCCAGAGGTGTAGAGGGTGCAATATCTCCATATCCAACCGTTGTCATGGTTATTATCGCCCACCAAAATCCAAGTGGTATAGTCGAGAATTGCGTCCCTTGATTGAAGGCGTCTTCTCGTTCTGCATAGTAAATCATTGTGGCAAACACAAGCATTCCGATGAGAAGGAATATCAACAGCATCAGTAATTCCTGTATGCTTGCCTTCAAAGCATATACTAAAATTTGTAAAGCTTGGTAATGTTTGACAAGATGGAAAATTCGAAACATTCGAATGATCCGCAGAATAAACATAATTTCGAATATAACCCGTTCATTCATGTAGCAGAATTTAAAAGCATCTGTATTTAAAATGAGCTGCATGTATAGAGGTACCAATGCAAGAAGATCTATAATATTCATTGCATTACGTATAAATCGAAACTTGTCCGGTGAAAATATAAATCGAACGATTAATTCAGCTGTGAAAAATGTCGTACATATAATATCAAGAATGTTAAGTATTTCGTTTGGTTGCAAAACATAGTTGACCGTGATATTCTTTCCTTCACATTTTCCTGTCATATTTCCCGCCAATGTGACGTTGACTGGACGAAGATAAGGAAGTGTCTCCAAACAAAACCCCAAAATTGACAAAACCACAAAACTCAACGATATTATGCCAAATATCTGCAAAAAAGGGAATAAAATTGTTTACTTTGGGATAAATTATACTCAAATACCACTACCACTATGCAATGTATTTAAAAGTCTTTGTAACATTTATTATTTAAAGCGTTTAATTCTGCCAGAATGTAATTTATTTTTATTCTCGAAGTCTTACTTGATTGATTTAGGCAGACAAGATATATTATTCAGTATATAGGATATGGCTTAAGCTTGTTAGATATTTATACTTCTTAACAAGTTAGAAGAATCTTAGTTTGAATAAAGTTGTAAAATACTACAAAATCACTTTTATATTATACGATATAGTATATATAGTTATAGACGTTATCCGGAACTCGGCAAATACGGTTTTCCCCAGCTAATCCGTGGGTACAAACAAACTTTTACCGTTATAGTTTCACGGTGTACTAACCAGTCAACATGTTTAGCTTATTGTCAAAGCTATAACTGTAAAAGGTTGTTTGTACATACGGATTAGCTGGGAAAATCCAAAATATTCTTAATTCCGGAGTCTATTGTGACATAAATTTGTTTTGGTAAAATTGGATATTTAAAAGTAATTTGAAGAAAGCAATTATTCCTCTTACATATTCATAAAAATCTGGTAATCTACGAGGGTTGATTGATATGTAATGTGTATTGCGAAATAGCCCGATAAAGCTTTAAATGATTTTGTGGATGTTGATACGCCTGAATAGCTCTATTCAATACATTTCAATATAAACACGAGCCATAAGCTAAACAGTTTTAAACTAATTGCAATTTTAATAGAGCCAGTCGTTGAAAATGGTTGGGAAAGTGATTGAGAATGTTAAAAAATAGTGCTTATATAAAAGTTCGCACAAAACTCGGTTATTGGGAAAAGCAGTTTTTAACTGATTTGGCGGAAGATTTTGGGCGTGATAATATATCTGATCAGGTAGTTCGTAGGTGAAGATAGAAATTTCTGGCTGACACAGTGTCCATTAAAGATGAAGCAATTTCTGACCATCCCGTGACTGTAACAGGCAAGACAAAAGTCTCAAAAGTCAGGGAATAATTGAATGTGATGACAGATACACTATTCTTGATATTATCAAACCTGTTGGCATATCACTATTGTGGTTGAATTTGATTTAGAAGCGTATTTTGAAAGTACGAAAGATTTTGCAAGATGATACCCCATATATTGAGAGATTGCCAAAATACGGTTTACAAAACACGGTAGAAGTTATGTAGTTATAAAAAGGACCATGAGCACCAAGAAGGTGTTTAGTGCATATTCTCCTCCGGTGATGGTATAGCCAACCAAATTCTGGTGCCAAAAGACTAAAGTAGTACAGGTCGGTCAAACCAAGATGTTATACTAAAGAAAAACAGGAAATACTATCAGACACGACGTGCTGTCAGGATTAAGGCATGATCGTTTACTTAATGATTATACTCCATCTCATATACACCTGAGCTTATGAGCCAGACAAGGTTACCGCCATACTCTCCAGATTTAGCCTGATGCGATTTTTATTTGTTTGGGTCGTCAGACCAAACAAATAATGGTAGCGAAATTTCAGATTCTAATTGATTGAGGGGCAAATCAAAGATAGTATTTTCAGGTATATGGCTTAAGCTTGTTAGAATATTTTATACTATCTTACAAGTTAAGAAGAATCTTAGGTTTGAATAACGTTGTAAAATACCAAAATCAGCTATAGTATATATAGTTATAGACCGGAAACGTCGGGGTTTTCCCAGCTAATCCGTGGGTACAAACAAACTTTTACCGTTATAGTTTCAACGGTGTACTAACCAGTCAACATGTTTAGCTTATTGTCAAGAGCTATAACTGTAAAGGTTGTTTGTACATACGGATTAGCTGGGAAAATCCAAAATATTCTTAATTCCGGAGTCTATTGTGACATAAATTTGTTTTGGTAAAATTGGATATTTAAAAGTAATTTGAAGAAAAGCAATTATTCCTCTTACATATTCATAAAAATCTGGTAATCTACGAGGGTTGATTGATATGTAATGTGTATTGCAAAAATAGCCCGATAAAGCTTTAAATGATTTTGTGGATGTTGATACGCCTGAATAGCTCTATTCAATACATTTCAATATAAACACACGAGCCATAAGCTAAACAGTTTTAAACTAATTGGCAATTTTAATAGAGCCAGTCGTTGAAAAAATGGTTGGGAAAGTGATTGAGAAATGTTAAAAAATGGTGCTTATATAAAAGTTCGCACAAAACTCGGTTATTGGGAAAAGCAGTTTTTAACTGATTTGGGGAAGTTTTTGGGCGTGATAATATATCTGATCAGGTAGTTCGTAGGTGAAGATAGAAAATTTCTGGCTGACACAGTGTCCATTAAAGATGAAGCAATTTCTGACCATCCCGTGACTGTAACAGGCAAGACAAAAGTCTCAAAAGTCAGGGAATAATTGAATGTGATGACAGATACACTATTCTTGATATTATCAAAACCTGTTGGCATATCACTATTGTGGTTGAATTTAATTTAGAAGCGTATTTTGAAAGTCGACGAAAGATTTTGCAAGATGATACCCCATATATTGAGAGATTGCCAAAAATATCGGTTTACAAAAACACGGTAGTAAGTTATGTAGTTAATAAAAGGAAACCCATGAGCAGCCAAGAAGGTGTTTAGTGCATATTCTCCTCCGGTGATGGAATAGCGCAACCAAATTCTGGTGCCAAAAGGACTAAAGTAGTACAGGTCGGTCAAACCAAGATGTTTATACTAAAGAAAAAACAGGAAATACTATCAGACACGACGTGCTGTCCAGATTAGGCGATCGTTTACTTGCTGTCTCGTTTTGATTGTTACGGCATTGATATGATTTTGGCTGTTTACTTTGGTCTAATGATTTTATAAATACTCCATCTCATATACACCTGAGCTTATGAGCCAGACAAGGTTACCGTCATACTCTCCAGATTTAGCCTGATGCGATTTTTTATATCTAGTTGATATTTTTTTTTTTTTTTTTTTTTTTTTTCTAGTCGTTGATGCGACCAGAAGGCTCAGTCATCAGTCAGTGTCTCAGAGGTTTACCTAAAGCATTGACGTATTTAATAAATAGACCCAGAGATAAAAATATTTTATTTCAAACCGGAGAGAATATTTTAAAGAGATGTAATGTTCATTTGACTGTTTGAATCAATTGCATTTGATATATCGCATATACAAAATCAACCCTCGTAGTATCATTAAAAATGCACTTAAAAATCACAAACAATTAATGTGTTAATACCTAAAAGCTAATTTGCGTAATATAAAGTAATATAATATATTTCTATACTAAACACATATCAATTTTGTGATATAAATTATCATAATGTTTACACTGATCCATATGCTGCAGTACCGTTATTTTCTTACATTGAACATTTGTTTTGACATATCTGTTATGGACATAAATCGAGTTTTTGAAAATAAATCTGTTACCGAACATAGATGAAATTAAAATAGATAAACTGTTTTTAAAGGATGGTACAAATCATGCTTACAAAAGCCGCTCTTGAGGTACGGGGGTATTCTAGTATCAACCACATTTTTGTTCTATATTTTTCCCAACCTGCCAATGTGCTATAATCTATCGGTTTGAACTGATTTATGAGGACACTGTGGTTAAAAGCCTCAAGAATGCGCTGGTTCTCGATATAAATACGGTAATTCCTCCAGCAACATGACTTTATATGATCCTCTGTAATCTGCCAATAGTCAAGCTCTCTTTTAACTACAGCTCCGCATACCTCTAGAGGTACGTGTAGCTCTCCTGAAACAACAAATACTGTTTTATAGCTACATGCTTTTGATTGTATTATACCATTATTGATGTGAAATTCTACACGGAAGGATTTTAAAGCGTGTGTGCAAGAAAGTGTGCTTCCCATTTGCTTTGTTTAAAAACAGACAGTCCAGAAATTTTGTAAAGAGAACATAAATAGCTGGATCAAGGAAAGATATTATGAAATGAAAATTCAGAAAATGAAGAGTACTTAAACGATCAAATTTCAACAATTCTGAAATGATTCCATTTAAGGAACAAAATAATTATCTAGAAAGGTAGGGTGTGCAACATCTTGGGATCTATTTCTGATGTGAAATTAAAGCATTTAATAAGCTTATTTAAGGGGTGTGTCTTTTATCGTGCATAGTGCTAATAAATCTAAAATGATTTTATCTTTGGAGTTATTTGATTTGCTTCAGTCATGAATTATATAAAACTATGAATGTGAATGAAACTTACCGAGAAGCCATACACGAATTATTTTATATCATGATTATAAAATAACATCTTTAGCCCATCGTCAAAAATGTTCATCCAGTGCTGCATATATTAGTAAAGCAACGTTATTTGAACAATTCGCAAGAAAATAAGAAAATAATCCGAAAACGCTTCGATGTAAGTACTATATAAACATAAATCAAAATCATATTAGTAAATTTTGATGATATGAAAGTACCTTAATTTATATGTTATAAATCCGCATAGACAAAAATACATTCAAACTTTTAACTTGAAGATAGTATCAATTTATTCTTAACAGAACAATGGATATACTCATAAACTTGACACAAATAAGAAATGAAAAATTCAATCAATTAATAATTAAAAGTTTTAAGTTTTGAATCAATTAAGAATTACATTTATTCATTTTAAGAAACAGATTCAATATCATAATTATTTAAAAAAAATCTATAACGAAATTCTTTTTTTTTTTGCACTTTTATCTGCTCAAATAAGATATTCAATTTTAATATGAACTATTATTCCGTTTCCTTATTATGCATAAGTAATTAACATGGTCAAGATATATGGCAACTACAAAACAAGAGCAAGTAAGCTAGTGTAAATGACAAGCTAAAATATAACTTAATATTTCAGTCAAAAGATAAATAAAAAATAAGTTCGCTTTATGCAGATTGAAAAGAAGTTTGATTTAGGTAATGCCCCAGTGAAGAGAATCTGTAATTTTCTCTTTTTATATGCTTGCTACATCCGAACACATCAACTGCCAAACAGACCGAATGGTACAAAGGGTACATTACCTAAATGATTGTGCAGCCTCCAGGGTTTTGTAAGCAACCAGCATGCCCGATCGCAATACTTTACATGCAGGGAAATACTACTAAGGGTTCAACAATCGTTCCATGTTTACAACAAGAAACGTCTGTACCATATCAGTAAAATATAGGATAAAACATAAATTATATTTCATAACGAGTCATCAATATATACACAAAAGATCTTAAAATAAGAATGTAAACACACCTCTCTTATTCAAAATGTATAAACAATATTTCAGCAAAGTTAACAAATAAATCATCAATTGTCTACAAACGAAATGTTTTCCTAAAATACAAATAGGACTATTTGGTTTATTAATTCTAAAAGATCTTAGTTCAGAGCATAGATCATGATAACACATTTCACTAGAAATTGACGAAAGAAAATCACCTGGTATCAAGCTGGTCCTAAATACATGTTTTTACAAAAACAATTGCTTATTATCAATCATTCAACAAATATATTTCTTTTTTAAAGTATTTTGCCTCGTATGTTTAAAAACACGAAGAGCTATTTATACACATCTTTTGGCAAATATCCTAATTGTTGAACCTATAGCTATATAAGGTATATGACACTCAATTACTAATAACCAATTATAAACATGTATATATAAACATACCTCTTAAATTATGCAAAAAGTTTTAAATGGAAAGAAGTGAATAACAACAACAACTGAAATGTGTAAACTTGCATTTATTAGAACAAAGCAAATTTCCAAAAAGCAATCAGTGCTACAAAGAAAAAAGTATAATCTTCGTTTTTCAAACAACATTTTTTTTCTTAACAATTTCTTGAACATTTAACAACAACACAATTAAATATGAGGTATACACGGCAAGCCATTTTAATTCAATTTAAAAACAGATATATTTCGAGAAATGTTGCAATATTTGAACTTAATTCGCATAATGTTAAACTAAAAGCAGGATATTTAATAATGTTGCTAATGAATGCAAAATAATTGATAAAATCTTTTTTAAATACATGTCGATAATTTTCTTAATACAGTCGTTATTAAAGACATTTTTATTAAAAAAGAATTAAAATAAATGCAATATTATTTAACAAAAATGCACACAACATGAGGTAGTCGTTAGCTCTAATATAAGCCAAAAATGTCTTCAATGGAAGCGCATAGATTAAAATATTTAACACCATAAAAGCAAACGTGCATGGAAAAATGTAAAAACAACAGTATCAATCAAAGTGGATAAATTGTAATATTTCATGTCAAAATCGCCAAAATCTGAAACAATATTGTTTGTCTGCCAATTAAACAATAAATCTGAAATTCCAATTTAATCCTTAGTTTGTGTATCATATAAAAATTTAGAGAAATTCTGCAAACAATTAAACACTGTAAGTCTAGTTTTGTTTGTTTGAATGTTTACATAATAATAACGAACAAAATGAAAACAAGGTTCGAGTTTCTTTAAGTAAAGAGAGCATTAATGGCAAAAAAGTAAAAAAAATCGATAAAATTGAAATTTTAGAAAATATTTTGACAACAAAGGGAACCCGTATTACATCAATGGTGTCTCATTTTGTAGAACAAATGGTAAACAATTTGTGCAAAATCACTTCAAAACAATATGTTACTAGTTTGAAGAAACCCACCTCTTGTTCCTTTATTGAAATAATGAATTTATGTAAGTCAAATGTTCTTTATTTGAGGTATTTGTATCTATATAATTAAGAAAAAATAGATTCATAAATAGATCTGAAGTTTCTTTACATTGATATTCCTACCTATTTGACAACGAAAATTGAGTTTATAAATAATTTGTTATTATAATTATTCACTGTGAGATGTTGAATTATATGAGAAATAAGGCATTTGGAAGTAAAAACACTTCATTAAAATACATCAATAGTAAATTTTAGACTTCAGTCGATGTATAATGCTTCATAAATGAGCTTAAGAAATAATTCTAAATGCAAAGCCTGTTATCAAATGATTATTATTACAATACGTTTGTAAATATATGCACATAGGTTATTTTTCTTTAAAAATTGGTTATCCAAATCGTTGAAACTCCTTTAATATTATTTAGTGTGTATTTTCAATGGCATATTGTCTTCTTAAATATTATGTTTCATAAAGGTATCTAAGTTTGAATCCATATGGTCGAAACTACAACAAAAAAAGAAGCGAGAAGAAATCAAATACACATTTTGGTGTACATCTATTTACATCTGATGTAATTGCAGGGTTAGATGATTTGGTTTGTAACTGTAGTACACCACCTCAAAACATGACCATCCAAAGTTCAAACAGGAGAGTCTGCAAAACAAAGAAATTTATAAAACTGTTATACGGAGAAGAAAATACATTAATAATCATGGACATACAACTTGAACTTTTGTTTTTTGTACAAAAATGCTTGTTAGTATGAAACAGAAAAGGTTGAACAACATGTAGTAGAGGAAAACTTATCTATAAACTAAAGTATATAAAAATATGTTTTATGTCATTGTGATGTAAACCGCAATCATCAATGTAAAAATCACACAGTAGTAGGCAAAACTAACTTCACATATCTTGGGAAAGTTCCTTTCGTTTGATATGCATCCATTTCAAAAATAGATATTGCATTAGTTCAGTAAACATGATTGTAGTTATTGTGAACAATAAAGAAATATTAAGAAATTAAAAAAAAACTATCATAAATGTATACGATATTAACACTTTAAGAGGAATTGAAACTATTTCTTTTGTTTATATTTAACAGATTGCATAATGTTTTGCATGTACAAACTATGCCTTGCCACTGTCCAATACAAGTATAATTCGACGGCTAGATACACTGAATGTGTATTATATTATGGCTAACCTTTGTTTATATTTTCAACTAATTTCTTTTTTGTCCTGGATATTTGTAAATATGAATTAATTTTCTTTTATTGTTTGATTTTCTTAAGATAATTTCTTCATTTCGTACGTAAACGATTTATTATGCTTATCCTATGTATTACATATCTAAGAACTAGATTAAAACTTTCTTGATGGACCACACAGTCATCCTTATCCAAGAGGTGTAAAGATATTTATTGATAGCACTGTTTTATTTTATGTTAAAATTTATCTGTAAAATGCTCACTAAGGCTGTAACTTTGAAAAAGTATAGGAAGTAAATCTTGGATTAAAGATGAACATTCATGTTATAAACGGTTACGTTTTAGCAAATATTGAAATAAACAAAGTTGTACGAGTATCACGTGACAGGAAATGATTCAGCTATCAACAAAGTAAGTACGATCCTTAACACTATCACTATATGTATGGGGATTAAAAATATTCACAAATCAAAATAATCACTTTAAATATACCCGCATTTAATACAACAAATACATTTTCATAACAACCATTCATTATCATACATTACGCCAAACACATTAAAGTACATAAAGCTACCATAGCCCTTTTCTACCAATCAGTTCTTTTTTGCGACTCTAGGAATAACTCTAATCTATTATAATGTACCTTAATAAATTATTTTCCTAAGTTCTTCTCTTCTCTCTTAATGTATACAGGATGTCTAAATGTTTCTTTTAATCGTCATAGCTGTCGTCTTGTTAATTGTTTCTTGAAATATATTTATTAATTGTTTGTTCTTGAAATATATTTATTTTAAATTAATTGCATACATTCAATTTTTGTTTTGATATGAAGGTTTTACTAAAGTTACATCAAGTTTTAGATAATATTAAATTAAATTTTGCTCTGTATATTTTCGTTGTACAAAACGACAATCTGTTAAACGCTTACAACATAATAATGTATATCTTTAAATTTAACATTTCTTTTTTAAATGTTTAATGTATCACAGAGAGACTAGATAAAATTACCTTTACGTAGTAATATATGGCTACATACCTGAGTATATCACACCATCATCCGAATACGCTTTTATGAAGCCAGAATTGGCGGTGTAGTATGCAACTTCCTCATCTTTCTTGCTGATATCTATCATAGATGAGGACAGTTTTAGTTTGTCATCTGCAGCATCAGTTATCAAACCATAACGTACATCACCATTGTACCCGTACGTTTTAAATCTGTTCTGATTTACGGCTAGTGTTGCCATGTCAGAGACTTTTCTCTTACGTGAGAAATGCACTTCGTTCAAAATTGAACCATTTGATGTTCTCTTTACAGATTTGTAACTTTTAACATCGTCGTCATTAGTTAAAAACAAATTTTGGTCCAGGCCTTCGGATGACGACCTTCTGCCTCCACGTGACCTCACATGAGTATAAAACAGCGTAAAATTGTTCGATATTACAGGGATTGTTAATGCCACCATGAGCACCCCGCAAATTGAACAACAAGTTCCAACAACATAACCTAACGGTGTAGAGGGCGCAATATCTCCGTAACCAACCGTTGTCATAGTAATGATCGACCACCAAAATCCTATTGGAATAGTTGAAAATTGAGTTCCTTGGTTAAAAGCGTCTTCTCTCTCAGCATAATATATCATTGTGGCAAAAACAAGCATTCCAATAAGTAGGAAAATGAGGAGCATAAGTAGTTCCTGAATACTAGCTTTTATTGCATAGACTAAAATCTGCAAGGCCTGATAATGTTTTACAAGATGAAATATACGAAACATTCGTATGATTCGCAAAATAAACATGATCTCAAATATCAGTCGTTCATTCATATAGCAGAATTTAAACGCTTCTGTGTTGAGAATGACCTGCATGTAGAGCGGGACAAGTGCCAACATATCAATTATGTTCATGGCGCTACGGATAAACTTCAACTTGTTTGGTGAAAATATAAATCGAACAATTAATTCAGCTGTGAAAAATGTCGTACAGATAACGTCAAGTATATTCAAGACCTCATTAGGTTTTAAAACGTAATTGACAGTTATGTTTTTGCTTTCGCATCTTCCAGTTGAATTGGCATCGAGTGACACGTTTACAGGACGAAGGTCTGGTAGAGTTTCAAGGCAAAATCCAAGTATAGACAACACCACAAACATCAAGGAAATTATTCCAAATATCTGCAATATATGTATTCATTAAGACTAGATAATGAACTATATTATATCATCTAAATGCATTATTAAATAATTTTGAATACTCGTATATGTTTAATCATGTGAATATTAAATTTAGTAACCTAAAGATTAAAAAAGACATTTGTTAGTAAGAAAATATACTTTCCTAAAAATAGTTTTTTTCTGAAAAGCAGATTAAGTGAAGACACCTTACACATTAGAGGTCAGACTGATTACATAAACCTACATTACCAAGACTCAAACACATACTAACCAGAGCTGCCCTCGATGTCCTGGGATACTCGAGAAGAAGCCACATTTTTGTCCTGTACTTTTCCCACCCAGTAAGACTGTCTGTATCTATATTCTTCTGTTGATCTGACAAAACACTGTGATTAAACGCTTCCAAAATCCGCTGGTTTTCTATGTAAGTTCGGTAATTCCTCCAACAGCAAGACTTTATATGTGTTTCCAAGATTTGCCAATAGTCAAGCTCTCTCTTTACGACTGCCCCACACACCTCGAGAGGTACGTGTAGTTCTCCTAAAATTACATGCAATGTTTTAATTCAAAACGAACGAATAAAATATATTACAAAAGGTAGGGAGTGCGTGCGAGTGCCTTTTGCTTTATGCCAATTCAGCTTCTCTCAAACGGGAAACAATAGTTCTTTCAAAAGTGTCGTTTTTAACCAATAAGTACATATTATACTGATCTTTTACTCTAAGTGCTTTTCAAACAAAGGTGCAGTGTCGATCAATTTCAAGTGGCAGATAAAATGTGTTTATAAAAAGCTACAATAACTTTGAGTTCTCTTACATATTCTAGGTCACACTAAATCATGAATAAACTACAATGTAGCATCTTATATCATATGTGCATCTGTGCGAGCTCAACATCTTAAATATTGTTTTACAGAAAACAAAATTTCAATTAAATTTTCTGTCAAATTTCGACCTCCTATTAAATACAAATATATAAATGAACGCAAAACTTACCACAAATCCAAATAAAAAGAGCGAGTTTTCGGAAACGCAACGAGTATAGAGCTCACATCTGTCAAAGTCGGAAAAATGTTCGCCAAAATCTGAAATAAATCGCCATTTCCTTGACAACGCAAGATTTTCATTTTGTTTTAATACTAATACTTATTACCAATGTCTTATCGCATAAAATGTATTACTTGCATTTATATTGATAACATGTATCGGATCTCATATTGTTCAAGATTTCCTTTAATATTGTCTACACTTTTAACCGCACATCTTTACATATTTAATATATGTCTTAACGCACAAATTTTGTTTTAATAATGATTATACAACTGAGCGCACAGCATAACAAATATCTTTTATTGCTAACTACATGACACTATATCTAATTGGTTCTAATACTAACTATAAGCCTATTTTCACTACATTCCATTCATTTTTATACTGACTTTATGCTTGGCTTCACTTTATGTTTAATATAGTTTTTATACTGACTAAATGCTTTGGCATATGCATATTGTGTTTTGATATGAAATTAACAACACTCATTACCAAATAAGGAATTATATATTTCTAGACCATGGTTAATCTTAACGAGTTCTTTTAACAGTCACGCTTGATAAAAAAAGGATTAAATATTTACTTCTAGATATAAACATAGGACTGTAACAGAATATTAATCATTTTATGAACATCGTTTCAAAAGAATTAATCAACACTAAATAACTTCAAAATTATTCAATTCAGAATAAAAATCTTAAATAAAGTCTTTAGTATATTTTTTCTTTAAATACATCAAATAAAGGCATAAATAATTAATAAGGCATAAAAAGTGTTTAATTGATCCTAGAATAAAGGTGATTGTTTTTTCGTTTTGCATTAAGGAAATTTTATTAAGCTGTTCATTTCTTACGTACATTATTTTCTAATCTATTACAATCGAATTTCAGGCAAAATTGTTTCATAGTACATAGTACATGTAGTCAAAAGTGGACAATTTTCAATTATTTCACTATACATATCGAGGATGAAATAAGTAACACCCAGCACAGATTAATAAGAATTTTCTTAAAACTTCTAAAAATAAAACAGAGCAAGAGAATAAGGTAGGAAATTTGGAATACTTGAAGATATAGTTGATAGATGAGGGAGAATCCAGATCATTAACTACCACAAAGATTTTGCAGACAAGTTAGAGATCTAAGGGTTGACCTAATCTAACAGCGTCATGCATGTGGTCGCTGCGCGAGCATTCTAGGTATAGGATAACTAAAAAAACTGCTATAATTCTATAAAACAGGATCTTAAGGAAACCGTTTATTTGAATAGTTTTTTAAATATCTGCTTGCAAAATATAAGAACTTATAATGAAATCAGAAGTTCCAAACCAAGCTGCCGCACATGATTTTTTGTAATTTCTGACAACAATTAACGCGAGTAGCAATTGCAAGCTTGCTTATAGGTTTGTCGTGTAAACATTATTAAGAATACAGGGGTTTATATTGTATACTTTTTTATCATCTTTGTTTACGCTATTAAATTTCATTTATTATGTGAATGCTATCATACAAGTATGGTCGATACGCAAACCATACGTCTGTCTGAAACATGTAGAATAATAACAAGGTCTCCTTGATAAACATGACCTCGTTATGTATTTAAGATGCTAAGCAATTTTGTGCAAGGTCAGGATCGTGCGCAAGAAGATGCAGCAGGCTTTCACTCGTTCTACATTAAAGAGTGTAAAAGAACGACAAATGTGTGCAAGTTCACCAAACAATCATCTATCTAAAGTGGTATGTAAACACAAAGTTATCTTGTCATTGTAATATAATAAAATATTCTTTTACATAATTCGCTTATACTTATAATAAAATTAAAAAAACACATTGAAAATGTATGTTAGTTGATATAATATATGAGTATTTAAAAAAATAACAATATATTTTAAAATATAAAATAAAGTTATTTTACTTTAGTTATACCATTGCTTTTTGTTCATCTTAATTAAAAAGATGCTTTTTTAAACTAAGTATCTAAAGTTAATTTTTTATTCATGTACAAATTATTTAAAGTTAAACAATAATTCTGATTCTGACAAACTTTAGGCATTTACATTTAACATTATTATGCTCATCACACTGTGAATAAAACTATACTGTTACACTTAAACCAAATGATATAATCGTATCAATATTATCATTATCCAAGAAATATATTTGCGGAAATTGGACTAAAATCAATAGATATTGAAAGACCACGTTGTTAATTGTAAACGTCACCAATGTGCTGAAAGGACAAATATAAATTGTTGATATAACACAGCAATCATTATCCTTTAATTGTTTTGTGAATTAAACGGATATTCTTACCTTTTTAAAACAAACACATACTTTAACTAATGCTGTTTGAATACAATTTTAATATTGATTTTAATACGCCTATAACCTTTATTACCCTTTTTTATATTTTATAAATATTGATGTACATCGACAACTCAATTGCTTGAAACAGTTTCTTTTCCGAGATAATTGATTGGCAAATGATACCTTCAAATATACTGACTTAACATTGTTTTTCACTTGAGATGAAAAAGCAATATCTTGCGAATTAAATTAAACCACAACTCCGAAGGAACCACTGCGACGTTCCTAATATTATTTCGAAATATGAGAATATCATTGTGGCTGTAGCATCAAATTCAGCTTACTTTACAAGAACAATTTACCTTCTATTTTCTGATGAGATGTTGCTTCGATAAGGATTTCGATTCGGTCGCACTTAGATGACCCCAAGTTGTACTATTTTTCTTGCTAATCTGCTCTTAGGAAAATAAGATATAAAAAACTAAATGCAAGCATTGTGGTTAAATTTGTTTAATCAGCTGAAGAAATCATACATTAAAGCTTTTGTATAAACATGAAAGACGTGTTGCATATTTCATATACCTGAATTTTGCAAATTGTTCCATACAATTAAAATATTCATTGCTTATAAAAGAAGTGCTATGTACAAATGTATAGTCAGCAAAGTTTTTTTCCATTATATTCATAATAGTTCAACAGCGTATGCAAATCGAATATAACTTTTCAACTTCATATGTGTATATCGTTATTTATATAACAGTCTCTAGTCAGTCTTCCATAATCCCAGTTTTTTTATACTTTGCTAACTGGATTTACATATATTGTAACGATGTTTACATATAATGGAAGAACAGATGTTATGAAATGAACATGTGTAATGATATCCTTTGTTTAGTTCAATTTGTGAATCAGCAATAATTTGTGTGCAATATTTACAAGATTACTGACAAAACATGGTATATTTTATCAATTGTTTCAACTTCATCTGTAACAAGTTGCTCGATGACTTCTACACCTGTTACAATATTGAACACAGCACAGATATGAAAATCATGTTTTTTTGGTTTTTTTTTTTTTTTAATATTTCAAGTGATATCATTAAAGCTTTTACACATTCGTTATATTAATGCTGTATAATGTTTTCGTATCTGTTGTCTGTTAATTTTTCATTTTAGATTTTGTTTCAGGTTGTCATTAAGATCATGTAGTAAAGCTCTTGGTTCCTGAGGAATCTTGCAAACACAATATCACAGTCGAGTGTCTGAAGAGAAAAATGTATACATATTCAGTCTTCATAATACCATCATTATTATAAAAGAGCATTATACATCTATTTTTAAGAAGCATTTCACTATAACGTAAAATTAATTTTAAAGATTACCAAATAAAAGTAGCTAAAAAAGTAATTCAGTGGTGGAACATATTATGTAAAGGCCGATTCCGTTTTATACCAAAATCGAGGCAATAGCACATTTGTACACTAAAAGCCAAACAATTCGTCCTAAATTCACCTTCAAGTAATTCCAATATATTTTATCATATATTGTTACATTTTGCAAACCATTTATTAAAAGTTAACCAAATATTAAAAGTTTTTTTTAATTCAAATGTTTTACATGTCTGAACGCTATAAATGAATATTTTAATATATTTTGCTATTAAACTGTTAAAAGTTCAAAAATACATTTATTATCACTCAGTTCATTACTGATAACTTTGTTAATAACTTACATTTTCATTATATGGCTCGTTCACGTATTACGTTCAAAGACTATCAATACATGCATTCAGGAACTGTCTAATTAAAATATGTTGTTGTTTTTTTATAATTTCTGGTTCGATATTGGAAAAAAACACACCAAGGATTCACAACAAAGGTGAGGTTAAATGAAACAAAGAAAAGATAAAAGTTTAGTTATCTTTATTACATATCAGCAGTGACGTAAAAAAACAAGAAATACAAGACTTACATTGAATTTTGTATACAGTTGCATTCGTCAGTGCAATTGCAAAGGCAAATAATTTGATATTTTACGTAAGATGGGTGAAATATATGATCATAAATATATAACAGCAATATTAATTGATAAACAATAATATTTTTAAAGAAAACCCTTCCCTTTTTTAGATACTGGACAACAGAAATGGTACGTTTGTCTCAACACATTACTGTAACAGTGCTTCGTTTCATCTAATCTTTAGCAGTTTTATACATATTCACACAATGCAGTTGTTCATATTCCTATTTCTGTCTACATCAGTTGATGAAAAACTTACTTCTAATATGTTGAAATTATAAATTTCATATATATATGTCTATGAAAACAGCATTCATACAGAAATTTTGGAATATGTTGTCCCAACAAATTGGCGTTGCCCATGCTCTAGATTATATTTTAAATAAATTACATGGTAATGAAGATAATGTTTTGTTCAAGTGTTCGATGATTTAAGTAGATAAAAATAGTCAAACAATTCTCAAAACGATGATATAATGTTAATGTATAGTGTGGAAAATAGGTTTGTAACATAAGACAGTTGTACATTCATACATAACATACATATTAAATTACATAAATTCACAAGGTACTTGCTCACTAAAAATATCACAGAAGAAAAGTGTGGATGTTAAGATAGTAGGAAAACAAATTAGTGATATTTAGAAATGTTAACTTTGAATATTCCATTATGAAAAAGCAGTCAGTATTAGTTTAACATGCATTATTTTCCTCTCTGAACATCCTACTATCTTAACGATACTGTTTGCGATGTCTTCAACACGTGTAAAATGTTTAGTGTGCTCTCGTTCCACAATACCGAATAAATGTCCTGAAAAAGTGCGTACGTTTCACATATTGTATAAAATGTCTGGTTGTGCATTTGCGTTTGGATATAAAAGAAAATGTTAGGTAAAGTGTAACACATAATTTACATTGGCATAACTTTGAGCAAACAAAAAGGCATAGTCAAACAGCAGGATAGGAAAGTTTACAATCGTAGGAAAAGGTACATCTCCAGGAAAGTGGGTGTAATTATAATGTGATACCTGTATAAATTACACCATCGTCTGAATAAGCTTTTACAGCTCCTTCATTTTCTATAAAGTAGTCCGCGTCCTCGTGCACGTGTCCCACATCAATCAATGATCTTGACGTCTTGTGTTTAACGTCTGCACTGTACAACATTTGACCATAGCGAATATCTCCATTATGGCCTGTCTTGCTATTTGCATAAGGTGCAGCACATAATGTTGAAAGATCTGATCCCTTTTCCTTTCTTGAAAATTCTTTTTCACTAACTACAATTGAGCCATTTGAAGTTCTCCTCGCGTTTTCATACACGTTGGAATCCTCCCCAGAATGTAACATATTTTCCACACCTAAGTCGTCTTCATCATCACCAGTGCCACGCGTGCGTACATGCGTATAGAATAATGTAAAATTGTGAGATATAATCGGAATTGTTAACGCAACCATTAATACTCCACTGATAGCACAAAAGGTACCAACAACATATCCAAAAGGGGTTGAAGGTGCAATATCACCATATCCGACAGTAGTCATTGTTATAATTGCCCACCAAAAGCCAATTGGAATGGTAGGAATTTGAGTAGTATTATTTTCGACGCCCGATCGTTCTGCATAGTAAATCATTGTAGCAAATACAAGCATCCCAAGAAGTAAGAATATCAACAACATGAGCAGCTCCTGAAGGCTAGCCTTAATCGCATAAACCAAAATTTGCAAAGCTTGGTAGTGCTTGACCAGATGAAAAATTCGGAACATTCGGATTATTCTGAGAATAAACATGATTTCAAATATCAAACGTTCGTTCATGTAGCAGTATTTAAAAGGTTCAGAATTCAAAATAAGTTGCATATAGAGAGGCACCAATGCCAAAAGGTCTATGATGTTCATCATAGAGGTAACAAATCGAAATTTGTTTGGTGAGCATACAAACCGAGTTATAAGTTCACAGGTGAAATAAGTCGTACATATTATATCAAGGATGTTTAAACCTTCATTTGGTTTAAGGACATAGTTGACAGTAATGTTTTTCCCTTCACACGTCCCTGTATTATTGACACCCAACGATACATTTCTTGGACGCAAATCAGGCAGCGTTTCCAAACAAAATCCCAGGATTGAAAGAATCACAAACAAAAGGGATAAGATACCAAAGCCCTGAAATAAAAGGAAAATCATATAATAAATCAAACGTTGAAGCAAATCTAACAAACACACGTAATTTTATGTGATTATAAATTAGTGTTTTTCATACGCATAACAAAAAGATAAGAAAGAAAATAATTCTTTTGTCACATGTCTAACAGACAAATTTAAAACAAGTCAGCAAATTAAAAAAACAAACAAGAAGAAGAAAAAGAATTGATTTCATTTTTAAATTATTTAGAAAAGACAGAATATAAGCGATCGATAAATTATACAGCGTATTATGTTATATGTTGTTTAAATGTACTGACGGTTAAAATTTGGGTGACGTTTTATCATGATTGAAATGCTCTAATCTTTTTCTATTATAATATCTTAGTAATAATAGTTATCTTAATTTAATGGAGTTAGATTTGAATAACATACTTTAAGGCGCATGATAAAACAGTAAATTAATCATCCCGATATGTATTCTAGATCATAACAACATGTCAATGAGAATTTAGAATAATTTATGTTTGAAATTGTAATTAGTCCATGGTTGAAAACAGGATATAATATGTGACGCACATGGTCTTAACTGTTTGTATTTCATAGACAACATTATCTGTTGTAGTTTAGAAATATAAATGTTTAATGTTTTTGATCAATTATTAACACTGAACAAGCAGAACTTTGTCTGCTAATTGGGTGATAGAACGATGAATTATATCTGCCAATTTCAACAAATGATACCCTCAAGCTAAAAATACTTGAAATGCACAATGTGAAAACATTCTACGTGAAATTTAACGTTGATAGAGTTTCAGCGATCATTGTTATTATTCACGAAATTTACATGACTAAGTTGCAGCATGTCGTGAAATAGCTATGTGCTTATTCTGAAAAGCGTATGTCACATTATGAGAAAAAGGCGAGTTTAGAAAAATATTATCATAATGTATACCACGTTTAATATTGCCGCATCTGTTCAATTAAATAATATTATTATACCTCACGTGGTTTATATATGAATTCAAAGATCAACAACGGAGAACGGCGTTCATGGATTGCAGCTCCGATAGCTTCAGTTTACATAGGATCAATGAAGCCGGTATAATAGACAACTGATGTCAAAAAACTAATGACAAAAGTAGGTAATGGATGTTGGTTACAATATTTATCTCACCCATAGCAAGAGGAAATTTACAAAAGTCAAAAATCAAGAAACAACAGGCCGTCATAATCATCATGGTTAAATAGTTAGTGCAAGTTTCTACAACAGAATTTTATTGCGATGTGTGAGAGTCTGATAGACCAAATACAGACGTATTTACCTGTTTCAACACTTAGTGCTGTTATTTGTACTACAAAAGTTAGTTCTTGTGTTATGTAATAGTTATTAAGCCGGAAATGAAGAAATCCATTGGGAGCAATGATATAAGAATGAATATAATGTGAAAACCGCAGTCTCAGTTTGATTGCTTCTGTCTATTAGAGACAATGTAACATGCAACATATTTCATGCAACTTTGAAAAATTGCAATCAGTGATCCAAAAGTCATATTTACTTCTGTCCTGTAGAATGACCAAGATAAGAATATGTTATTCTGGTTTTCAATACCTTCGAATTGTGTATGATTATCAATTGAATGTTTGTGCCAGATGGACGCAAGTATTTCATTGAGAAATTCATGTCGGCTTGTGTATAAATGGTTACCTAGTTTATATATAAGGATAATTGTTAGGAGAATGTTTCTAAGTCACTGAGATATTTAAAAACTCATATGTCTACTTTGCAGTTTTAGTACTGGTTGAAGATGCAACTAATGAATGTACATGTATAACTAACTGCATTATTAATAAAGGAGAATTCTAGAATAGAAACACCAACCTTCCATAGCTTCCTTTAAGTAACGTTTTCAATGTCATTGGCAGGATTTAAACTCATTGTAAGGGGGACAAGTTCTGTGAAGTCAATGAGTGGCATTGACCATTTTAGAATGGAAACCATTAAAGACAAGTACGAAATGGCATTAACACTAAGAGAGATGTACATTTCAAGCCTTAGCTCAAACGATAACTCATTTATTCCTTATATGGTGACTTTATCTTTAAGTATCAAATAAATACTAACAACTCATCTAATATTTCCCCCTTTTGCACCCGTCTACTCGACCTTCTTGTCCCCTTCCCCAACACCCCTTTACATTTGTAGGCCAACTAATTAATCGTCTCTTTAATTTCATTGTCGGTTCTACTATTTCCTATTATTTATTATTATAGTAATCAGCCCGTTCTGCTCTGTTTTAATTTAGGTCACGTTGGGTTCCTCGTCGGTGGTCCTGTGTTGCTGTATCGTGTGGTATTTGCGTTCATTGAACGCCGCCCTTCTTTGTTGATCTTAATCATCATATTTTAGATGTTTTGAAATGGCACTTTCCATTGTTAAAACAAACAGAAGATATGAAAGGAAAGATGTGTTTTGTTAATTTATCAAATACAACAACTGAATTCACAACCCTATGATAACCACCAACAACACCACCCCACCACCCCACCAACACCCAAATGCAGTTTAATGTTCAATTCAGTTGTTAAAGTGATACTGTAGTTTTTGGATTTTAACATTTAAATTTTGTAAATCGGAGATAAATTGAAACCATTGATAATAAAATCATGCTTGTGGAATAACAGTGATATAAAATGTTAAACATTAAGAGCACCTCGTACCTGTTTTTTATCATCAAACTGTAAAACGACATTTTTATTAAAAACCAAAATGATTGCCTCGATTAAACCATAAAAGGGTATATCCTAATATATTGCTTCGGAGTTTTTAATTCTGTGTGTGTGTGAAAGTTATATTCTTAGCTCTTGTATCTGGATAATGCATGGACTATACTTGTATTTGTTTTACGAGGTTATTATTCTAATATCAAAAAATGAAAAGTTACGAAAATATGATATTAATGGCGACTAACATAATTTTCTATAGATTCAAGGTAAAGAATTAGAATATAAATGTAAAAGTCTAGGGAAGCAATTTGTTATTGTAAAAACATTCAATCTAGCCTAATTTTATAGCTTTTGAAAATGATCGCTTTAAAATTAGCAAAAGTATGATATACTAGTTAATATGCGTATTCCAAAATTTTGTCAAACAACTAATGTTTATAAATGATTAGATAAAAGTTTTTAATCGCTAATGGAACCTATCCAAACTCATTGCCAGTTTCAACTTTCCAATATTTGAGGTTATCTATAGGCAGTTCCTTTAGGTATTGCATTAAACCGATTGTCTTAAATGTTTCACTCTATTGTCCTTTATTAATGAATTTTAATACCTACAACATTTTAATGAATACACAGTCAGATCGATAGATATTTTCTGGTTTTGATGATAACTATTTTCTGTTTGTTTTATTAAAATATATATTTCATTTGTAACATACCAAGGCTGTTCTTGATGTTCCAGGGTACTCCAGGATATACCATGTCTGGGTGCGGTATTTCTCCCAACCAACAAGATCATCTGTATCCGGTATCTTTTTTTCTGTCAGGACGTTACTATTAAAGGCTTCAAGGATTCGTTGATTTTCTATGTAAGTTCGATAATTACTCCAGCAGCAAGACTTGATATTGTTCTCGTTTATCATCCAGTAATCAAACTCCCTTTTCACAACAGCCCCACATACCTCAAGAGGTACGTGTAACTCTCCTGAAATGATAAATTGAAATTATTTATAACATCTATGATAATGTTTAAAGCTTAATGGAACACGGTGCTTATGAAGTTGATGCATTCATTATTAAATGTAAATATATTGAGCCACATTGTGAACTTTGATAATAAATGCGTAAAAAACAACAAATATAAGATATTGCGAATTAAAATGTGTAAATGAAACAATCGAATCGTGAGTTATATAACGGTTATTATGTAAAGTTTCCATTCATGCGTCTTATACACTCACATACATAATACATGCATACAGGGACATTTGTTATTGTTTAATTTTCTTCTTATAAATTCATTCTTAGAGTTTCGGCTTTGTATTTACAACGAAGACGGAGTAAAGTTGTGTTTGTTAGAACGCTCAATATCGCCATCTGCAACTGGATGAACCAGTTGTAAGAAATACCGACCGTACAACATTTTACATCTTACAAACAGTGCTGAACAGTTACTTACCACTGTCCTTTTTATTTTGCAAACGGATTGCACATAATGAAAACAAAATGATTAACAATCAAAGCTGGCCACTTTCTTGAATTGTGTGGTAATTGTCACCCAACATCTGAAAACAATTATCAACCGAATAACAAACAAAATAAATGTATACTATAAATAGACAAAATCATAACAAATTAGCAATTGAAAAATGAATAAAATGATGTATATGTTTGAATTTGTATGACTTTTGTCAATGTCAATGCACAAAAGACTCATTCATTATTGTCACACAGCTTAAAGCTTGTTACTATCGGGAACTAAGACTTAAATATCACATTCATAATAACATTTCGCTCGGTCGTTTAATAACGTAATCATTGTTTGGTTAGCGCTTAAGTAAGCCTATAATTATAATAACATCACCTACTTTTTCTTTTTTTAAGTTACAGACCACTTGTCATAGGATAAACTGTCGTTTTGATTTTTACAATTTTGGTTTTTACACATTTTTGTAGACATGTGCCGTGCAATTGTTAAAAACTCGCCATCATAAGCTCTATGTATATATATATATATATGACTCTCTTCATTGCTCGTTTTAGACACGCGGTTCACAAGAATTAAATATGCACATATTTTTGCTAATGCCTCGGTCTAGCTTCGAGTAATATTTCTTATAATTCAAAATTTGTTTGCACAATTAAGCTTAATTATTCAAATAAAAAATAAACATACTAAAACCAAATAAACTTATTTGGTTATGTTAAACCGGCGAAAGTGTTTTTAGAAAAAGTCAATATAATCAGATGTTGCACATGTAAAAAGTCTACCTCTTTATTAAAATATTTAGATATAAAAGTAAGATATATTTGATTGAGGAAACAAAGCATACTTACTGAACGGAAATATTGATTCAAGTTCCGAAATTGTAATGTAGACGGAAACAAATGTCGGAAAATTAGCTGAGAACACTCAATTGAAGCACGATTTCATCTTTCAGATATTATTTTTTTTTATATTAAACAACAAGCACGCCAAAAGTAACGTTCAATTTCGCACCGGATGGATTTAATCTTTATTCTTAATTAAATGTTTAAATATTAAGACTTAAAATATATGTTTATGTGTTTCAATCTGGTCTCTCTGTGTACGAACTATTTATTCACGATAAAATCGGGAAAAATACCATCTACGTTTGTAAGGACAGCAAAGTGTACATCCGGAACAAACAATGAGAAACTGTTTCAAGCAATCGATCTATAACTAAAAAGGATACACCCTAAACCTTCAACTATTTAAAACCAACAATTTAATTTTTGTTTTAGAAAATGCGCGCATATCTAGCGAGGCGCTCGCAGCGATATCTTTGTAACAAAAAAATCAGCAATTTCTTATATGATTAATACGTAAATATTATTTTAACAATATCTGGCTAGCATAAAATAATTTATGACAAGTTCTATATACTTTTGATAAAATCATTTCAAACATTTTAGACGGTCAAACTTAATAAGACATGTTGCATATTCCAAATAACACTTTAGTTGGGCTTTCATCGATAGTGAAATATCAATTTCATACAAATTCATTTTTCCCTACAAGAATTTATAATACTGCGCGGAGTACGGCGTGTATTCTTGATTAATCAGACAGTATAGGAATTGTTTGTTATATTGTGAATTTGTTTTTATGGGCAGAAATAGTAGTAGATTTCGTATGTGAATGAGAAATTTAGAGTGTAAATGTGTCCCTGACGAAACTATCAAGATGTGTATAAAATAAAATCTTGGTAAGCAATATAAGCTTAAATCTAGCGTCCATGCTGTGTGGAAATACAATAACATGCTTAAAAGTGTTAGGTGAGATCAGGCAGGACAAGATTGTGCACATAAGAAACAATCATTTGAGCCGCTTCACGACAAAACCAACATAATGGGTTTGCGACCAGCATGGATCCAGACCAGCCTGCGCATCCGCGCAGTCTGATCAGGATCCATGCTGTTCGCTTGCCAACTCTATTACAAGTAGAGAAACTGATAGCGAACAGCATGGATCATGATCAGACTGCGCGGATGCGCAGGCTGGTCTGGATCCATGCTGGTCGCAAACCCATTATGTTGGTTTTGTCGTGACACGGCTCATTTGTGTCTGTAAGAAGATCGGGTGACATAACATTAAAAGAAGTAGCTTCTATAAAGGTCTATGAAGCTGTTAAAACGGTTTTAACTCCTCCAGATTATCCAAGTCTATGTGTAAACTATGCTAAAATAATATAAAACATGTTAACCAGTCTGATTACACATAATTGTGCTCAAAATGATCCATTTGATATAAAACATAATAATAAGAATTGTTCTACATTATCCACTTTCTAATTTTACTATAACTTTTTTAAAAGTCGACACTTATAAACTTATAAATACCCAACCAAATGTCTTACCACTTGGAATTATAATTTTCATAATGATTCATGTTATTTAGTTTTATCATATAAAATGCAAAAAATAAATTTCGATTTCATTGATTTCTAAAGATTAACGAAATAATACTTCAAGAATCAAATTATAGTGCTTAACCATAAAAGAATACAAAATCGTTTTTTTTTATTATTTGCGACATGTACAAATAATTGTTAGCTTGAAAGGTAATACTAAAGAAACGAGCATATAGAAATAACAAACGAACTTGATATAGAATCATATTGAAAAAATAAAATAGGAGTGTGAGGAGTGTTACTGTAAACCTAGAGCTGACATAGGACACCGAGTATTGAAAATTGCTTATTTAACAAGAAAAGAGGTGAAAAGTGTGATTTACTACGGATAAACATGTATATATAGAAGATTAGAAGAAGAAATTCATTCAAGCCATCTAGACACTAATTCCTCAAGAGGTACCTCTATTGGCATTTTAACTCACAATTTTATAAATGTTTTGGTGGATAATTTTTCAAAAGAAGTACTTTATCTCGATAACTATGCATACTTTAAATTACTTATGAATGTAATTCAAATATCAAAAAAACAACAACAAAAGAATGATGCCAAGGGAGGTAATCAACTTGCTTGGAACGACAAATACTAAATAGTCTATGAAGGCAGGATAAAGTATAACCAAAGTATCTTGGAATCTGGTCAATAAAAAGTTAAATGGTTTTGGCGTACCATAAGATTTCATTAATTTTCGCCAATATCTTGCCTTTTTGAAGAGAAATCAATTTTGAGTTCTTCGGTAAGAAAGCATACGTGGAGAGGAAAAGATAAAGAAAGGTGGGGGAAAGTTAAAGGATCTACTTGGTCATAGGTCAAAACAATAGTTTATACCTGTGATTAAAGGTTAACAAAGACAAGCCATATAAACATGTTGTGTTACAAAACATTCTTTAAATGCAGTTCATTCAGATATATCTAAGATTTATTCGCAGGAACAAGTCACCTTAAAGAGACAGACATAGTTTATTCAAATAATAAACAATGTGTGATAAATTTCTTCCTAAAAGTACCAAACTTATGTTTTAGCTGAACCTTATGTTTCATATTTGTAAAATTTCTATCAACAAATATAAAATATTGTTAGGAAACGCTTGTCAATAAAACAATTTACACAAATATGCAAAAATGTTTTCGAACAAATGCGCAGAATTCACATAAAAGTTATTCACTGTACGCAGGTCTACCAAAAATATTGTTTTTGAATATGCTTTGTTTTTGTTAATTGATAAAAATAATGTGCTATTATAAAATCAGCTTGTTCCGTTCTAACTAAATTACATATCATACATATTAGACAGGCAAATACGCATCGCGTTCTTATTGTATCTTATTTTCTAACGAAAACCTTGTGTATTTCATAATTACTCCACACTTAAGAGCATTTTTATACATTTATACATCATTTTTATACTGTGTATATAACACATATACATGTAGTTGACAAGTTACTAAACAGATTGAAACTAAATGGCAGTGTTTAAAAGTAACCTGAATCCATCAGCTGGTTTATATGATATGCTTAAGAGAAACACATTTTGCTATAAAAGAGTGACACGTTTTTTTTAGACTTTTATTACAGTTGGTCGTATTCAAAACACAAATTAAATTTGTCGGAAATCAGACTAATGTGAATTATTTATTTTCAAATCAATGATGAATTCGTAGAAGGAGTTAGTGTCTTATATTTATCAAAATAGATAGTAATTACTCATATTAAAATACACATAGATTTTTTGATATACCTGTAGTTATGTTTGATAAAGTAATCGAACATTTTTCGATGTAAAATATCTTTTTATTTTGGTGTTTAACCAGAAGAATTCATGTCGTCACATGAAATATATCGAAAGAGATGGCAGAAAACAAAAATGATGAAATATTCATGAGACTTTTACGGTGCCCATATGTTTGATCATGAGGGAAATAACACAAAGTCCTTCTTAATAAGTGCTGCTATTTTTAATCGAGATTGTATTAAAATGAGGGTCCGTTATTGTATAAGATCGTTCCTCAGGAAAAACTAAAGTGAAAGAAACCTCCCAGTTTGGCAAT